ATGGGAAATGGGCCAGACCAACGAGCTGCAGAAGTATAAATCAAGAGGCAGCGCCCAACCATTCATTCATTCATGCGTGAGCCATGCGGAAGCGCTGCCACAAGCGACTTGTGTGAGGTGGTTTGCGGTGAGCCCGAGGACGAAGTGGGCGAGAGAGGAGGAGTGTAGCCATAGCGATAGGGTAGTAGCGGCCATAGCCGTCATAGATGTAGTTAGAGTTCAGTGTGTGTGTGTGTGTGTGTTCAGAGTATTGTGTGTGGGATATCCAATGTGATCCTGTGCATGCGAACAGAGAGTTGTGTGGGCGCTGAGTTGCCATAGCCAGGCGAACTTGTATCTGATCTGTGTTCTCGGTTACCAGAGTTCTGAGTGGGCGCTTGTCGCCAGTTTGGTGCGCACCTGTTTGCATGCATGACAAGTGTGAATGAGAGCGAGTCTGATTGCAAGGACTATGTGAGAGGGGGGTGAGTTCTTTCATCTCAAGAGCCCGCCCACTCAGGTAAGTGCCGTGCCGCCAAGGTGCCCATGTGTGTGTGCATGGAATTGACTGCCTGTTGGGGTTTTCTGGGTTCTTCTTCCATCCTCCATAGTCTTGATTGTGTGTGAGGTGTGTGAACTGCCTACTCACCTGACGAGTGAATGAATGGAGTATCTTGCTTGCCATGCTATATCTCTCTACAATGCTTTGTTTATTTCATTCTGAACGGCTGTAGTCTATAGGTTCTTTCTGGGGCAAAATTTCGTTTTTCAATTCGGTAGGGACATAGTAGGTCTTTGTGGAACTCTTGTTGGTTGGGACCCGGTTCTGACTCCACTGGGACCGTTTGGGACTCAATGGGACCAGGCCCAAACAAGAGGGACCCCTCAGGCCAAATCTGTTGACGTCAGTTACCTTGCTCTATCTGATTGGGACTCGGACTTTATGCTTTCGGACCAGGACACTCGCTGCGGAGGGGATCTCCGCGGAGACGTTTTATCAGACTTTACCGCACAATCCACCGCCTGACTCGCACCTTGGACACCACTCAGTTCTCTCTTGCATTACGCTGTACACCTTGAATCTGATTTGCTGTGTTTTCACGGAGCTGAGTCCGGCTAGGCTTGAGAGGACCTCATACGTAGTCAGTCCAGACTGTGTGGCGGGATCAGATCTCTCTGATTTTTATTATTTTTGTTTTGACTGCTCTCCAGTCCAAATGAATTGCCGCTCCGGCTAGGAGTTCTACCTTCTCTTCTGATTGTTTTCAAAGTTGTTTCTTTGACTTGGTTCGTTAGATGGGCAGCCAACTCCAGATGACTTCTGGGAATCATCCCGAAGCCAACGGGCAGGCTGAGCAGATGAACCGAGTGGTGCAGCATCTGCTGAGGCATTACGTAAAGCCCAGCCAAGATGATTGGGATGAGAAGCTACCTCTCATCCCCAGTCTGTACAGCAACGTTGTGCACAGCACCACCGGTGTCACTCCCAATCAGATGCACTTGGGGTGGAAGCCTAGATCTGCTCTAAACTTCCTCCTGCCTGAAAATCGAACTGCCGTAACTCTTGGAACCATAGAATTTGGTGTCCAGTATGAGAAACTGTTGCAGTAGACTGTCGAGCACATTCAGAAATCTCGAGAAGCAATGATTGCTTCTGAGAACAAGCATAGAAGACAGTCTACATTTCAGGTATTGGAATGTGTCAGGGTAAAGGCCAGTGAGTTAGGACAGGAATTCGGCATCTCTAGGAAACTAATGATTCAGTCCTTGGGAAGTCTTGGATATTGTGGGTAGTGAAGAAGATGGTCCCTCGTATGTGATTCGAATCCCTGGTCACCTACGCACTTACCCTGTGTTTCACGCCTCAAAGCTTGCACCTTTCGCTGAGACACAGCAGTTCCCATCAAGGAGATCTATGCTGCCCCCAACCATGGATGGCCACGTGGAAGTCGACGACATTTTGGAGCACAGAGATATGCCTGTTCCTAAGCCTGGCGGCAGAGAAAGACCGCCGAAACCTAAGAGGGAATACAGGGTCAGATTCAGGCATCACACGGATCCAAAAGAAGACCGATGGTTCACGAGAGAGGAATTAATTGAAACAGCACCTCAGATCGCGGCAGATTATGAAAGAAGGTTGAAGGGGAAGGCACCTGCATAGAAGCGTGTCAGCGGACTTTCGAAGCTAAGGGGGATGGAATGTGAGGAATGCGTCCTCAGGGGCCTCTAGACAACACGCATGTGTTCTGCCTGTGGGCCCCCAGCAAGCCTCGTGCCCGCCCTAAGTGAAGGCGGGCCTGATTATTTACGAGAGGCCCTTTTCTCAGCATTTTCCAATACGGGTCTCTGCCAGTTGCTGCACGACAGTTGGTTGAAGTACAACCTGAGCCTCACCCTGGGCTTTTCCTGAGGAAGCAACTGCGCCAGGCAGTTGAGCCCAGGGCCTGGGTGGTTGTGCCCTGGGCACACACATTTTGAGGCCGATACATCACGAAGCAGCCGCGGGCCAACGAGAAAGCAGCATTGTCGACGTATCTGCCCCGGGGACTAGTGCAAATGCAGCAAACAGTCGGAGGCTGGAAAATATCGGGTCTGCCCAACTGCAAAGGGTCCAGACCCTCAACTGCCGAAGAAGGGGCCTGGGTGCAGGTACTGAGGCCGACCGGAAGCTACTGGAAACCTCCATGGCCAGGCCCACACAGTCCAGCAGTGGCTGCCACTTCCATATAGGAAGCAGGGCAGCCAAGGAGAAGCATTCTGGCCAATACTGGCATTGCGGACACACTGCTGCGCTAGCGTGCGAGTGTCTGCTTTGCGTAGCTGCTGGCTGGGGCACACACGGGCGCTGTGAGGTGAGGGCGTGGCAGGGCAGCGGGGCGCTAGCGGCCATAGCCGGGCTGCAGGGCGCGAGGCAGGTGGAGGGCGGCACGAGGGGTCTTCGGGAGGAGGCGCAGAGAGTGGGTGTCAGGGGTTGATGAGGGGAGACGAGGATACGCACCTGGTGTATGTGGGAGGTCGGCATTGGTGTTGGCGACATGTACATTGGTCTTCAGAGTCGACGTGAGCCTGTTGCGAGAACGTCGATAGGATAGATAGGCAAGTAGAGTAGGCTGGGCGCTGGGCGCCAGACAGAGGAGCGACATTGGATACTGCGTTGGTGTGGCCTTAGGGCTTGAACATTGGCTCACGAGTTCATTGTATTGCTCTCATTTGGATGGAATCTTGGTGCATTTGAGCTCTCTGCCTGTACATGACTATCTGGACCTCTGCATGATTTTGCAATTTGGTTTTCTGCATATCGCTCTCGCTCATATTCCTTGCACTGTGACCTACTTGGTCCTTGCACGGCTGGGCGGCCCGGGCAAACAAGGTGACCCGGGTGGCCCGGCTGGTAGCCTAGGTAAAGATGCAATTTTCCCATAAAAAAAGAGAAATATTTTCTTATTTAAGTTATTTTTAAAACTTTTTTTTTTTTGTCTGGCCCGGTGGGGCAAGTGGCCCCAGGCCATTCTCTGGTAGCCTTGCTAAATACAGCTGTGCAATGAGCCTATTAGTTCAACACCAGTGAGCGCACATATTCACACCTCATGCATATATGACATCACACGAAGTTTGAAGACCAGAGAGATTAAGACCAGGTAACGCAGCTTATGAATTCCAACAAGTTATTACAAGAGCAATAAGAGTTCAAGTCACCAGCGCTCATCTGCGCATGCCAAAGGTAACAAGTAACCAGCAAAAAGCTCCCAGGTAAGTATCTCTTCCCCAATGCTCTTCTCTCTTATGTATCTCTCCTCCTTGCTGGTCTTCTCCCTAGCTATGTCCTCGCTGTGTCTTCTCTCCCTACATGTGTGCACACTCGTTAACTTCTATTCAAGGATCTACTCTGAATACACCGACTGATATGTCTACTAACCCTCTAAAGTCTACTACTAACACTCTGCACTGGCGCAGCTATGGCTGCCTTCTCCCTGCCAGCGCAATCTCTTCCTCTCTCTTCCACTGTCTTAGCGCAGCACTCTGGCTTCAGCGTTCTGCCCCTCACAGTAGCGCACAAGTGCACCAGCACTTCTACGCTTCATGCGAATGAGCAATCTGCCCGAATGGGAGGCTGAACAGTCTTTTTGTAGTCTTGGATTGCACTCCAACTCGTGCCAGCCTCTGCTTCTTGGGGCCTGACTGGTTCTGGTACCACATCCCCACTGCCTGTCTGCTTCCGAATGTCAAGGCCCGGAACCTTCCCGAATTTCCATTGGTCTGCTGCTGCTTGGGCCTTTGAGTCAAGACTTTTCGATTTTAGCATATGGTTTTGACTGTGGACTGTGACTCTTCCCTGTGGGACTGCCCTTTTACTCGTGGTATGTGACTCTTCAATATGGCTTTTTTCATTACGAAACGTGACTTTTGTCCCTGAGATGTGACTATTTGCGGGGTGCCTGTTGGACTGGACTGCTAAGGTACCCGGCTGTGACGTTTCTGAAATTGACTGACTTCGGCCTTTTGTAGCCAGGGCCTCTGTCCCTGAGACCTGAATTTGGGGTCTGAATCGTGGAAAGGCCTTTCAGCTGTAATGACCGGGTGTTCTATTCGGGTGAACATGGTAGCAGAAAAGACAGACTAGCTGATAAACTTCATCTGGTGGCCTGAAATATCTGAAGAGGTCTGTCGTTTGGCTATCTGGGAATGAGGCCCATAATGTTAGGTTGGCCCGATCTAAATAGGTTTAATTCAACTCCTCACTTTCCAAGGCAATGCGTGGCGAAACTGTATATCATAGGACACCAGATGTGCTTTCCAGCGCACTGCATAAGATGTTCAAAGAATCACTTTCTGGGTAGCCCCTCTTGAAAACAATTAAAGAAAAAGACAATGATCAGACACAGTTACCAGGGCAGCAGCAGAACATACACAGGAGGACGAGATTGACCTCTTATCTGTTCTTCCCTGACTAATTTTGGGTGCTTGTTGTTTCGTGCTTGTGGGTATATGAAAATCTGTTCTTACTGCCGATCTCACTGGAGTTGCTGAAGAAAGCTGGATGGAGTGAGGGCGAGGGTCTTGGACTGCATAGTCAGGTTCGTCAGCGACAATAGAAAGTCGTGAGAAAAAAATATAAAAAAAGGCAGGCTTCCCTTATTGTGTATCAACTGACCAGGTTTGTCAGCACGGCCTTGTCTTACACGATTCATGCTTGGGTCCCTTGTGGTTCCTGATAAGAGCACGCTGCAGATCCACAAACCAGCTCTTTCGTCACTCCCTTTGTATATTGAAAGATGAAAAGGTGGCGAGGGAGAACTCTGCGAACACTTTTCTTTCGGTTTCCTCTTCCTTGTTGAATATGACTTGCGTGAGAGATCTAAAGCCGGACGCTCTGAGTTCAGCCTCCTGTCGGCGCAGTTAACCTGCCCGCACACAGTCTCCTGTCAGACATCCACCATCACATCGTCCCTGACACCCCTCAGAACCTTGAAAAAAAAAAAACAAAAAAAAACTGAGGCCCCACGCAGTGAATGTTAGCTTCAGAGGGTCTTGAAAAACAAGTGATTGAGAATCAGGCTGCTGCTCTGGATAGAGCTTCAGAGGGTCTTGAAAAACAAGTGATTGAGAATCATGCTGCTGCTCTGGATAGCGGTCATTCTAGGGTGATGTGGTCTGCATTACCTCGTCTATACTGCTTTACCTTCCCCCAATAACATAGATAGGCATCATGAGTGTATTCAAGGAAGCTCATTCCTAAGACAACGGTTTACAAAGGTTGTCTCATTCTTCTTTGCCCCTCTAACTAGAATCGGCAGTCTTTATCGGACAATCTTCATGTATGATAAAAGTCTACAGCTATGAGTTTTTTTCTCTGCCGTGAGCAATCAGGTTTTCTCTCTGCTGACTTCTCCTGAAGACAGTACAAGACATTGTCAATGTACTTAAGGCAACTCTCCCGTGTGAGGTGCAGTGAAGAAAGTCATTCGTTTTTATGGCTCTGTTGAAGGGAAGATATGAGACATTTTCTTTTAGGACTCTGCTGATAATGCAAGGAAAATGAGCGAGAGCGGTAGACAGACAACCAAATTGCAATTTCTCGCTGAAAGCCAGATAGTCGTGTCCCAAGCAAAAAGCACAGTGCACCGAGATACAAGGCAAATAAGAGCAATACAGTGAAGTCAAATGTCAATGTCGGCCTTCTCGCCACCACCAACACAGTATCCAATGTTGCTCTTCTCTTTCGGCGCTCAGCGCCCAGCCTATCCTGCTCAACACCTACGCAAGCCTACAGCTACAACATACAACAGGGATCAGTTCAAGCTGAAGACCAATATACGTGACGAAGTCGCCCGTGCAAACTGCTGCATACACCAGGTACGTGTCTCTCATCTCCCTCTCTCTCAACACCTTGCTATCGCCCCCCACATTGCACACCTCCTTCTGAAGACCACCATCGGCCACGCCAGCCTACTCGCGAGCAGGCCCGGCTATGGCCGCTCGCGCTTGCTGCACAGCAGCGCCCCTTTCACCACATGCGCCCGTGTGTGCCTTACTGCGGCCAGCGCCCAGGCAGCCTGCCAGCGCTCAACGCAGCAGCGTGGCCGCACAATCTTGCAAGGCCTGAATGTCCCTGGCTGCCTGCATGTGGTTGCCCTGGACCTGGCGAGCGTGTGCCCAGTAGCTTCATGTTGCTAAAGTGTCTGCGCCCAGGCCCGATTCAGACAGTTGCCTGGGCCTGCAACAGTTAAGCAGCCCAACTGTGCGACGTGGTCAGCACATGCTGCTTCCGTATTGGCCGAAATGCCCGAGGCCTCGTCGCTGCCTTGAGGAGCCCAGAGGTTCTGAATGTCTCGGTCACACAGGTCTGGGCCCCGTAACCAACGGGCACGTGGTAACTGTCTGGCGCCCCCACATGCAGAAATGACGAAAATAGGGCCTCATGTCGAAATGCAGGCCTGCTGTTACGGACTCAGCCAGGGCTGGATCCCTGGTCCGTGGGTTAGCACCCGCCAGGCTGCTATTTCATTTTTGGGTATCTGTTCTCAGGCCCCTGACTATTGGCGCCCTCTGCAGTTGGCGCCCGTTCTCAAATCCCTCTTTTGGCACTTTCGGATTTCGATACTTGGTGCCATCCAGCATTCTGGCACCCAGACTCAGACCTCCGATTTTCAGTTCAGCCCTGAGGCAATTTGCACTTCTGCCCTCGGGACTGAACTTGAGTCCGGTAGTTAAGACCGGACTCAAGCCCATACGGGCAACCAGTTTTCAGCCTCACCGCTTGTGTTCAGTGTGACTATGCTTCGACATTGTGGTCAGGAATCCAAGACTGCGACTTTGCGACTTTGCCACTTTGTGTCTGCGTCTGTCGAGTCGTGTCGAGTCTGCGTCGAGTTGAGTGAGCATCTGTGTGTGCTCCCACTCTCCCTCCCTCTCTCAGTCTCGCTGCCCTGTCTCCGATTGTTACACCCACCTTCACTTAAGGCAGGCACGCGGCTTGCTATGGGACCCTTGGCCTGTTGGGTGCCGAGGCCTGAAAGGCCATGCGAGGGCTCAATCCTCACAATAGAGTGGTTGGTGTCGTAGGGACTGTCAGATTTTCATCAACCACTCGGTAACTCAATCCCGGGGATGCTCTTATCACCGTACACTGGTTTTGAGGACCCTTGCCATTGTTGTTCTATAATTTCTGCTAAAAAACAAAGTGCATTGAGCCTCACTGCTCGACACCTTGAGTACACAGACACATTGAGAGATCACACGAAATCCACAATGGAGTCCAGAGATGCAAAGTTCATATATGCGCAGCTTAGAAATTCCAACAAGGATGACACACATAAATCGAGAATACCTGTGGGACATCCGTTAAAATTGGAACGATACAGAGAAGATTAGCATGGCCCCTGCGCAGAGGATGACACGCATAAATCGAGAAATGGTCCAAATTTTTTCAAAAAAAGAAATTCCAACAAATTATCATATTAAACAGTTTCGGAGATCCAGTCACCAAGCGCTCAACAGCGCAGAGTTCAGCAACCCAATACCAGCATCCTCATCTAAGGCAGGTGACTCTCCTCTCTCTCTGTCTTCTCTCTCTCTCTCTCTGTCCCTCCTGGTCTTCTTCGTGCGTGCTCTCCCTCTCGCCCTCTCTTCCTCTCTCTCTCTCTCTCTCTCTCTCTCTCTCTCTCTCTCTCTCTCTCTCTCTCTCCCTCCTGGTCTTCTTCATGCATGCTCTCTCTCTCTCTCTCTCTCTCTCTCTCTCTCTCTCTACTTGAGAATCTTGACTCTGAATACATCCGCTGCTACTCAGCTCTATCTTACTACTAACTTATGCGGCAATGGACGCCTTTCGTCTCAGTGCAGCGCTGCCCAGCAGGGCTCTCGTTCTCATGCTATTCGCAGATAGCGCACAAGCGCTTCAGTAGCACTTCCACCCCTCTCACGAATGAGCATCTGCCTTCAAATGTGGTTGGCCAGGCCTTGTATTGACTTGGACTGAGCCTCAACTCGTCCCAGCCTCTGCTTCCTTGGCTTGACTTGGACCTGGTACCACATCCCTGCGGCCTGTTTGCTTCAGAATGTCAAGGCCTGGTAATTTCGTTGGTGTGCTGCTGCTTGGGACTATGAGTCACGATGTTTTGTCTGTGGAAAATGACTTTTGACTGTGGGATGTGACTCTTGCCTCTAGGACACGACTTTTGTCTGGGGAAGTGTCCTTTGCCTGTGGAATATGACTTTTCAATATGGGACGTGACTTTTGCTCATAGAATCCAACCTTTGCCTCTGGGATGTGACTGTTCACCGGGTGCCTGTTGGACTTTACTCCTGAGGTACCCGACTGTGACCTTTCTGAAACTGACCGACTTGGCCTGAGAACTTGACCCTGGAATTCGAATTTGGGGTCTGCATCGTGGAATGGGTTCAAAAGGAGAAAAAGAAGGGAAAAAAGGCTTGGTGGAATTGGGGCTTGTCCGAGAGCGGTTTGGCCAGGTTCTTGGTGATGGTCTGCCAACAGCCCAGGGAGCAATGGACAGAAATGCAGGTCGTGGTCAGATCGAGGCAAAAAACATCAACATGCAACTATTGCAAAGAAAATGAGAGATAGTGAGATGACAGAATCCAGATAGCACAATCACATTGAAAGCAAGAAAGTCCCACAGTGTCCAGAAAGCAGCATTGCACCAATATTACAGCAATGGAGAATCGAAACTCTTAAACCGAATGCCAATGAGAGCTTACTCTCGTCCCCACCAACATACGTATCCAGGCCCCCTCTCCCTACTTGGCTCGGCGCTCGGCGCCCAGGCTACTCCCTACACAGCTACTTCCTGCCTACGAATTGACAATGCAACTGTTGACGTCAGCAGCCACTGAAGTACTTGAAGATGCAGACCATCGCCAATACCAGGTATGAGCCCTCACATCATCATCCTCATCTCTCCCTGTCTCTCCCTGTCCTTGTCTTCCTCCCACGTCTTCTCTCTCATGCATGAAGACCATCACCACCTCCACTGGCTGTCCAAGCCAAACCCTGGCTATATAGGACTGGCTATGGCGCTGCCCTCGGCAGCGCCCGGCCTTCTTCCAGCGGCCGTGCGCACTGCCTGGCAACTAGCGCCAGTGCACAGCGCACAGCCTGCGAGCGCACGCTCAAGCAGCACCGCCGTATGCACTGCCTAGTGCCCGAATGCCTCCACCAGGCCCTCGTGTATTTCCAGAAGCTTCCAATCGGGCCAAAGTGTCTGCGCCCAGGCCCATTCAGATAGTGGCCTGGGACCGAATTGGTTGAGCCTGCCCAACCACCCAGGAGTAAACGTGAGGTTCTCCCTGCTTCGCCTGTGCTGCTGGAAGAGCCTAGAAGGCTCAAGAATTATTTATGATTCTCACGAGTATGGAGGATGAAACCAACTGGCGCATGGCAACTGTCTGNCCTGTGCTGCTGGAAGAGCCTAGAAGGCTCAAGAATTATTTATGATTCTCACGAGTATGGAGGATGAAACCAACTGGCGCATGGCAACTGTCTGGCGCCCACCAAACTTTGCCAAAATTGATGAACTCGGGCCATATTGAAATTCTGGGGCCCGCCTTCACTTAGGGC